TTTCGCATACTACTCATGACTTGTTATTACCCATTGAACCCATTTCTTGGGATCTCCAGTCTATTGGGTCGGGTTACCATCACTTGTAGTCCGTGGTTCGGTAGGCATAAGTCTCATACCCTTGGCGGTACTTTGGACTTTCTCTCTAGATAATCCTTTCGTCAAAGGATCAGCTAGATTCTGTTAGGACCTTACAGGATCCACCCTCATTGCTCCTATTGTTAGGAGTTCTCTTACAGTACTTTGCTTACGACAAATTTGTCGTCTCTTTTCGTTCTAGAACCGGATCCCTTCTTTAGTAATAGCTGCGGCGCTATCACAATGAATCAACTACCAGAGGGATCGGTCTTTCCCATAAGGGAATCTCTAGTAATGACCCTCTCAATCAACTTTTCTCTTTACTAACCATCGCTAGCTCTATCATTTCTGATTTCTTAGTTGATTGAGCCAGGATCGTTTACTTCTTAGACTTCCAAGACATAGCTTCTCTATCGATGTTTAAAACACATCCTCTTGTTGTCTTGGAGTCCTCTATAGGGTATTCTAATCCGCATCACTATACCCTACCAATACAGCAAGAAACCGTTGATAACATATATCAAGGCCTACTGTTCACTTAAGGTGTCTCGTGACCCTTTTCAATAGCATTTCAATGCTTCATACTAGGAAAATCAATAAGCCTGCCAAGTACCCCCCACTAAATCGGGTCTCATGTTTATTAGCTGCCTCTCGCAGACTGTAAATGCTAGTACATTCGAACTTTCTTACACCGTCTTAGGTGTTCTTTAAATATTTATACTAGCATCATCAAACATGTATGCAGGTGTACATCTTGTATTTTCCTAGTTATTAAGATCTCTAAGCATAACATTTGTTTCATTTAGATCCTTAACATTCAAAATTCTCAACCATCATGGTTTTTCAATATTGACATCACAAGTCTTTGTACCAAAGATCTATGTGTCATTCACAATGCAAGTGTCATTCTCAAAGTTGTACTAAGGTCTCGTTTGGAGAATTGGAGTTTAAATCTATAGATTCTAGACAATCTAAAGAGTTTAACTCTGTGGATTGTTTAAAAAAGATTTGAAAATGTTCATTGTTTGGTAATTACGATTGTTAGCATCCAATGAAAAAAGAAATTCTATTTTTTATTACATGACTTGTTTATCCTTAACCAAAATAATTAGATTGCTCGAAAAATATTGAGAATTTATTGGTAAAGGTATTTAGTGGGATAAATGAACAAAAAAGAAGAGATATAGTAGGAGAGAGAAAATCTCTAAATCAAGATGTAGAACCTCTCTAATTATGAGAGATTTGATATCTATAGATTTTAGAGATTAAAATCTCTGTAGCTACAATCCATGATACAAAAAATAGCAAAAAAACATAACATTTTGCTAAATCTATGGATTCAATAAATCCATGATCCAAATCTTGTTCTCCAAACAACCCCTAAATGCACTTGTCATTATTAAAACCATGAGAGAGAATCTGATTTTTTCACGCCATTGTTTTCGAGTCATTTTCAAATCTTACAATGATTTGTCTAACCATAGACTCTAAAAGCATGTTCAGGAATAACAACCCTATAGGTTGTCCCATGTAGATTTTCCTATCTGAATCACCATTCACAGAAACATGTTTAACAATCCATCTGACGCACAACACTAGCAATTAGAACATACATGGATGTTATTCTACATATGGTGAATAGATAACAAGAAAATTTACAATTTTTCCTTTTTCGCTTAAAGCTTTAGCTATTAGGCGATCCTTATACTCATAAACTAAACCAATAGGTTTCACTTTTCTTTTAAGAATCCATTTATTACCCATGACTTCATTGCCAAGAGGTAATTCTCAAAGATGCCAAATCTTGTTGGATTCTATCGATATATTACCCAAGGCTTTTCAACCAAGAGGTAACTCTACAAGATTTTAAGTCTTATTAGACTCCAATAATTCCATTTCGTTAATAATGGATTCTCGAACTTCTAGCAGACTTGTAGGATCTTTCTTTCTTAGGGTGTAAATAACAAATTCATAACCAAAATCCTTTCGTGATTTATGGTTCATTTGTCTCTTCTGGGTTCATACTCAGATTCATCACCCCACTAGTTATCCATTATTTCTAATAGTAGGTAGGATATTACCCCCCACTATTTCTTAATATAAATGGAATCTATTGACATCAATGGTTTTCACAAACTAATGAGTATTTCGTTTCATAGGCTTATGTGTTTTACAATAACTTACACACTCATATGCTCTTCTAGTTATCATGTTACACTGATTCTCTAACGCTACCACATGCATGCCACATCTCGAATAATCAGTGCAATCATAATGCAATTATGCATTTCAAACCATTTCACATAACTAGTCAGACAGTCAGAGCACTCTAAAGAGCAATAAATTATTTATTGTCTTTTACATCAAGTTTACCCATATCAACATAAATCAGATCTATTGATTCTGATTCTCTAATCACATATTTATGGGTCCTTTAGCTTGGATATACAAAATTCATATTTTTCTCAAACATCCAATAATAATATGAGAATAAGATATTCTAATTCTTCACACAGACACACTTGAAAGAATTTATCTTATCTACTTAACCATTCCTTACGTCTCGAAAAGTCAATGACTTTCTAGACGTAGGGTTCTTTTCCACTTTCCAAGAACCATCAACAATAGTGGTGAGGGTCTTGCCCAACAACACTTCCACCTTCAATACACCTCAATGTATGATTGAGCTTAGCTTTTTTTTGTCATACACATGCCTTGAGGCGCTAATATCCAACCACATTCTTCAGAGTTACCATTAAGGCCTATCACCTCATTAGTGATTATTACCACCAAATGCTCATATTTAGTCAAGTTAACACTAGGTTAAACTTGTTCTTACACTTTCGTGTCTTATGACCTAGTTTCTCACACATTTAACAGAGAACATAGCATCATTCTTGGAGGATTGGGTGACAATCTTATAGTTACCACAAAGGGTACCATTCTATTTGGTATGGATCTGGTTCGGCTTGCTGCTCTCATTCTTGAAACTTTAATGTTTCATAGCAGTCTAAGTGGTTCGTGTAGTACTAAATATAGTACATCTTACAATATCGTTATTATGGGACATTTAACCCATTCTATTCCCATATATTCTTCACACACACTCATGTAAACAAAGTTACTCTTTTCTGCAGCATGCATTAAAATTTATACTCTAATCATCGAGGAAAGCACATCTCAATACTCATGCATCAATTCTGGCATTCTCAAAATTTTTCAATTGTATGCATAGAGATATATGGAATAGATTCTACTTTTCCATTCAATGATAACTTACGAGAAAGGTTCAGTTCTTACCTCTGTTCAAGAAGTCATTGCCTTTTGGTTTTACAACGAGATGCTTTAGCACCAACAGCTTCTCCTACTCGTTCTTTGGCGTGCTAAATACCTTCTACTTCCTCTTATTTCATCGGCCACCACATAGGAGCCCCGGGAAGTGATCGACTGTCACCATTTGGTCTCAAATTTCGTATTGGGCACACTCATCGCTACTTCTGTGCATTATCCGCACCTACTGCGGCTACAATATTATAATGAATGCCCTGCATAGTTATTGGGTACAGAGCAGTACTACCAGTACTATCAATCAAAATTATTTGGCCGGATCCACAGAGCTCCATGTTCTTCTCTGTCAACAGAAGCAGCATAATATGCTTTCAAGGGAAATACAACCTGCAGTAGCTAGAGGACAAAATTCCCATACACATCCTTTGTACTCCCATAAAGATCAATTCAATTTTACGTCAAAACTCAAAAATCAATGGCAGCAATTAATTATGAACTGATCGCTGGGCAGCCACTATTTTGGGTATTGAGCGATTGACGAACTTGTCTTTTGGGTCGAATACTTCCCCTAGTTCAGCGCCATTCGAATCAGAGAGGAGCTGTGTACTATACTTGTTTGGGAAGGCGATACTTGGCGGCAAAGAGAGCAGCTGTGGGGTACAATTGATACCCAGAGGTAGGTTCATTGTTGCTCCCATCAATTTCCCGAATCATGACAAAAACAACCACGAGCGTCGCGACATTTAATGGCGTTTAAATTCTCTCGCTCGTACAACTACGAGTAAGCTGCATCCCCGATCCGGAATACGCACGCGCAGGAGATCTTTTATCGATCCGCGAGATAGAGGGATACATCTTGGTTGCTCGAGCCAGAATCGGACTTTCTGTTCGTTAGCTACAACAGTAACCGAACGTCTTAAAATTGTTAGAAATCGAACAGGAAAAATTAGGGTTACCGATCTGGCTGAGTCGCGGACTAGGTCGCTCTCTTTAAGACGTTCGCGGCACTGCCTTCATTGCGCACGGCAGACTATCAGCTGGTCGCCTCCAGGATACAACAACCACTCTAATTTTGTTGCTCATCGGTTTTGTGCGAAAACCGGAGCTCTATGAACTCACTCTCTATCTCGTGTTTCTGCTCTCTGAGGTGTGTTTAGAGGGTCTGGGGCGTCTCCTATTTATAGGAGCAGAAAACCCAGAATATTCCCTCTTTCTTTGGGAATAAGTCATATTTTAATTAGGGAGATAATTACTCTCATAATTAAAATATAATATATTAAGATAATTATTCCTAATTATCTTCATAATATTTCTTTTATTAATTATCCATCTTATTCATGTATTATGGGAAAATACTGGATAATTAATTAGGAATTTCATTATAGCTTTTCATAGCTATTCATATCAACACCAAGTTTTCAAATGATCCATTTGGTTGATGTCACCAGAGTAGCGGTAGTAAGATACGAATATGAATGGTTTTTCTTTATGAATTGAGGTATAGATATAATGAAAGGAAGTGACGTACAATGTATGTATCGAAACAAAGAATGGTGATAGTACACATGGCGCACAGAGTGCTGAAACTCACATGTTAGACCTACTCTAAAATGAGAGAAATAATAAATCCGGCGATGAATGATATTAGAAATGACTGCAACGGAAACTGCTCCTCAGCTCCAGCGTTACTTCCCTCCGATCGGCCGCCGGACCAACCTGATCCCTCAATTTCATCTGCTCCATCTAGTTTACCCAACCCGATGGCTCCTGCCATCCCCTCCTCTGATATGTTAATTGACTCTTCCCCTTTGCCTGTGTCTTTGTCTCAACAGGGAACCCAGTCCAAGGAAGTGGGAGAGCGAAAGGGACAGTCCGATGAAGTGGTATCTGCCACGAATCCAGGCTCTTATGCTAGAGCGCTGACGGGACCGGCTTCTAGGGTCCCATCTTTGAACCAATTAATCCAATGGACTCCGGTGGGGGAACATGACTTGGTGACAGAGGAACACAATGGAGAATCGGCGCTGAGAGTGTCACCTCAATTTAAGGCCAAGATCTGTGCACCATGGCAAAAAACCTTGGTAGTTCGTCTGCTTGGCCTGAGAATTGGCTTTGTCACCATGTGCAACCGGCTGAAAGGGCTGTGGCGTCCGTGCGGTGCTATGGAGGTCAAGGATCTTGATCATGATTGTTTCTTGGTGAAGCTTGATAACGAACAAGATTATTTTCGTGCTCTGACAGACGGTCCCTGGGTTATTCATGACCACTACCTGGTGGTTCAGCAGTGGACACCCAAGTTCAAAGCTTCGGACCCTCTCCCCAAGACGATGATCGTCTGGGTACAACTTCCAGCCCTGAAAATACACTTCTACCACAAAGAAGTGCTGAACACCCTTGGGAATCTCATAGGAAGAACAATCAAACTGGATTATCACACCCTGACCCAACAGCGGGCGAAATTTGCTCGTTTGGCTGTCGAAGTGGATTTGTCAAGACATCTTGTTCCCAGGATTTGGCTAGATGATGAATGGCAGAAGGTGGAGTACGAGAATCTCCCGGAGATCTGCTTCAAGTGTGGTAAGATCGGTCACTCTACAGCAGGCTGCCCGCTGAATAATCTGATGGTTCCAACTGTTCCAGCGGCGGTCACCGGGAATCCACCGCCGGAGTCTCTGTCGGCGGAGCCGATCGATGCCAACCCAGGCTTTGGACCATGGATGATGGTCACGCGGAAGAGTCGGCGCAATCCTAGGGAGGCTCCACGAAAAGGAAAGTCGGCGAATGAAACGAGCAATCAGATCTCCGAGTCGACAAACAAATCGGGGAAAGGTGGGGCGATTATTAAGGAATCTCTACAGGCTGTACCGTCCATGGCGAGCCGCAACGCCCATCTGCAGCAACGGGTCTCCAACCAGGAAAGGAAAGGGAAGACGGGCGGCGAGGCAAGTAAAAAAGGAAAAGAAAAAGTGGCAGTTGAGAGGGAGGTGCAAGGGAATGGGCTTCTGGGGCCAGGGCCAGGTCACTCGAAACCAAACAATAAAGGCCCGACCATGCCCAAAGACTCCAACGTAGCCTCATCCTCCAACAATGTAGCAACTCATCAGGCCAACTCGGAAAAAGTCTGGGAGTCTCCCTCTGCTTTAGTAACGACGGTGGCCCAAGATGGTTGCGCGGCCCGAATCCCTCAACAGCCCATTTTTCGCACAGAGATAGGAAAGAATGGCACGGTGATGCAGATTGTGGAACACCAGCAAGCTTCCCAGCATGACAGCCTGCAAACTCCAACCTCCTCCCCATCAGTGGCTGCACGTACGAAGCGAAGCAAGAATAAGAAGCCCCACGCCAAGAAATCGCCGGCGAGGCTTAATCAACTAAAGCCATTACAGATCTGGTCATCGATCAAAGAAAGGAAACCGAAGTCCAAGGCTCGTATTGCCTCCCTCACCTTACAAGAGATTACAGCCGGGATCGAAGCTGCTCGTCGATCCTCAGGCGGAGCAGAGGAAAAGGAATCAGAGGGACCAGTAGGCTTTTGCCCATCGATCAGCAACCTGGATGGGGGCGCGACCACTTTTTCTTAATTTCTCCCTTGAATCCGCTGTGCCACGGATCCCTTTCTTCCCCTCTTTTGATTTTTGTTTAATGTCGATGTCCAATATCAAAATTTTCTCATGGAATGTTGGGGGGCTGGGAGCAAAGCTTTTGCCCGGGCTCTCAAATTGGCAATTCAGACTCACCGCCCTGACTTTGTTGTTCTTCAGGAACCGCAAATTAGTGGTGATGCGGCGAACAAGGTTTGCGATAAGCTGGGTTATCCTAACTCTTTCCGGGTGGAGGCCGAAGGGAGAATGGGCGGAGTGTGGGTGTTCTGGAACGCATGAATCTTCTCGGTACAACCGTTCTCAGCTTGCACGCAACATATATCTTTGAAGATAACTAATGCGAATGGGATAAAATGGATGCTAACGGCGGTTTATGCATCTCCCCGGCAGAGCGAGCAGAGAAACCTTTGGAGCAGCCTCATCTCCCAAAGCAAATGTATCAATCTCCCGTGGATCCTTACTGGTGATTTTAACGCCATAAGCTCTCCTAAGGAGAAGTCGGGTCCCCCGAAGAGTGATACTTTGAGGCGCTGTCTTTTCTTTACCAACATGATGCAGCTCGCGGAGCTGGTTGATCTCGGCTTCTCAGGACCAAAATTCACCTGGTGCAGGGGCGGTCAGAACAACACTTTTAAAGCCAGCAGGTTAGACAGAAGCCTCTGCAATCTGAGGTGGAACTCTGCTTTCCCCAACACCTCGGTCTCTCACCTTCCTCGGCTTCAGTCGGATCATAACCCGATCCTGACGGTCATCGATCTTTAGCAGAACCAGCAACCCCGACTTCAGTCCTTTAAGTTCGAAGCCGCTTGGTTCACTAGTGAAAGTCTGCAGGAGGCTGTTTTGGGGAACTGGAATCAACTCTCGCCTTTTCAAGACTCCTTGGCTGATCTCTCTAAAAAGCTTATGGAGTGGAACAAGGAGGTGTTCGGGAATGTGAAGCAGAAGAAAATCAGACTGCTGGCTCGCCGGAAGGGTATTGAGAACAAGCTGGCTTCTGGTTTCAATCCCGGTCTTGTCAAGCTCCATGGCAGGCTAGAGATGGAGCTAGATAAGGTTCTGGAACAAGAAGAGCAGATCTGGTATCAGCGATCTAGGGATAACTGGATGAAGTTCGGCGAGAGGAATACGGCTTACTTCCATCAACAGGTCAACATGAGGAGGCGCTATAACAGGATTGAGGCTCTACAGGATGAGAATGGGGACTGGGTGTCGGATCCTCAAGCTCTGGCTAAGTTGGTGTTCGAATTTTTCACTAATATTTTTTTGCAGGAGAACACTTTGTATGAGGACAGGATGCCCAAGCATGCCTTTCCCAGGTTGAATCAGGAAGAAGCAGCAGCTTTGCTCAGACCCTTTAATTCCATGGATATCCAGAAGGCCATTTTTTATATAAGCCTTTCCAGGCACCAGGACCAGACGGTTTTCATGCGGCCTTCTACCAACGGTTCTGGCAGGTGGTTGGGAGGTCGTTAGCTGACCTGGCTATATCTTTCTTCCAGAATAGTGTGCTACCTGAAGCAGTAACGGAGTCCACTCTGGTACTCATCCCGAAGATTGATTCCCCGGAGCGGGTCACTCAGCTCAGACCCATATCCCTCAACAATGTCTGCCTCAAGAGCATTACGAAGGCCATGACTAGTAGACTGAAACCAATGATGAGGAAGCTGATCTCGCCACGCCAGAGTAGTTTCATCCCTGGTAGGCAGACAACCGACAATATCATTGTGGTCCAAGAGGTCTTACATTCCCTTCGAAAAAGAAAAGGGAAGAAGGGAGGTCTGGTATTCAAGATTGATCTGGAGAAGGCGTATGACATGCTTAGATGGGACTTCCTGAGGGACACGCTTATGGAAGTGGGGCTCCCCAGTTCCTGGATCAGCTGCATTATGTATTGCGTTGAGCATAACAGTATGAGGATTAGATGGAACGGCGAGTTGTCTCAACCTATCACCCCTACCCGCGGAGTGCGACAGGGAGACCCTCTCTCTCCTTACCTGTTTGTCCTTTGTATGGAAAGATTATCTCATAAGATCGATGAGGCGGCCACTAGCGGAAGTTGGAAAGCCATTAGGCTGACTAGTTCAGGTCCGCCACTAACGCATCTGTTCTTTGCAGATGATCTGTTATTATTTGCGGAAGCTGGAAGGAGACAAATCCGGGTTGTGAAGCAAATTTTGGCCGACTTCTGCTTCAGCTCGGGTCAACGGGTGAACTACAGCAAGTCGATCCTCTATGTCTCGCCCAATATCTCGCGGAGAAGAGCAGAGGACTTGAGCACGTGCGCAGGGATTCCCCTCAAGGCAGCTCTTGGCAGATATCTCGGGATACAGGCGATCCACGAACGAGTTACCAAAGGACGCTACCAGTCTCTTCTGCTTCGCATTCAGAAGAAGATGGCTCCTTGGAAAGCAAAACGGCTCTCCTTTGCTGCTCGCCTCACCGTGGCTAAATCGGTAACTGCTTCTTTACCTGTGTATAATATGCATTCTGAGCTGATACCGAGCGGTGTGTGCAGGAGCATTGACAAAATCAGCAGAGATTTTGTTGGGTGATGAGGAGGAGAAAGCTAAGATGCACCTCGTCGCTTGGGATACTTTGTGCACGCCTAAGGAGCAAGGGGGAGTAGGTTTAAGACCGGCCAGACAAGCCAACATAGCCATGCTGGCTAAAGGCTGCTGGCGGTTGCTAAAGGAGAAGGATAATCTCTGGTCTCGCATCCTCCACTCAAAATACGGAAGACATCGGCAAGGTCTTGACATATTCCGAAAGTGTCAGGGAAGTTCCTTCACCTGGAATAGCTTGCTGAAAGCTGCTGATCTTTTTAAGAAGGGTTGTGCGTGGAATATAAAGAATGGGAGACGGACTAATTTTTGGTTGGACCCGTGGGTTTTGCAGGGATTCCTCAAGGAGAAGGCCACGGGAGCTATCCCAGGGAGCATGGAGCTAGCAACGGTGGCAGATTTCGTTGAGGACGATGGCAGCTGGCGTACATAGCTCTTTGAAGACCTCCTGCCTCCGGATATCTGTAACAAAATCCTGAGTACGGCGGTGGACAAGCTATCCCAAGAAGACGATTCTTTGTTCTGGTCCGAGACGGCTGATGGCAGATTCTCTACGAAATCTGCCTATGTTTTGCTGACTAAGCAAGGAGATCAAGCTTTGGATAATGTTTGGAAGGCAATCTGGAGGCTGACGGTGCCGGAGAGAGTAAGAGGTTTCGTTTGGCTTACCATGCAGGGGAGGATTGTCACCAATGATTTGAGATTTCACAGGAAGATTGCGGTCTCACCTTGCTGCCTCCGGTGCCCTGGGCAAATTGAATCAACCCTCCATTTATTGAGGGATTGTGCTCCTGCGAGGTACTTTTGGTCCAGGTCTGTTCCGCAGGTAAGGCAGCAAGCTTTTTTCACTTCCAACCAGGATGAGTGGATGCACAGCAACATCTTCAGCAAAGAATCCATGGCGTCAGGTATTGGCTGGTCGGCGTTTTTCAGTATGGCGATCTGGCTGATTTGGAAAAACCGCACGGTTGCTTATTTTAAAGGAGTTGGGGCCTCCTTGTCCGCACCCACCCTCATGAACTCAATCCTGGTAAAGAGTAAGCTATGGTTTGATTCTTGGAAATCCCCGAGTTTGGTTTTGGATCACAGGAGGCAGCAAGGTGAGCGCGTGAGCGCTAACATTGGCTGGGACCCACCTGCCGAGGGATGGGTCATGCTGAACACCGACGGGGCTTCCAACGGCAACCCCGGAGCGGCCGAAGCAGGAGGTTTCATCCGCGACAGCCTGGGGATTTGGAAAGGCGGTTTCGTGGCGAACGTGGGTACTGCTACGGCAGCCTTAGCTGAATTATGGGCTATCTTCTATGGACTCGATGTAACTTGGAGACTTGGGTTTCGTTTGGTGCGGGTGACTTCTGACTCTCAGCTAGCCATCCAATTGATCCAGAACAGGCATGATCCCATCCACCCCTATGCTACTCTTTTGAGCCTTATTCGCAGGAAGCTAAGTCAGGATTGGTTGGTCAGCCTATCTCATACATACCGCGAAGGGAATAGAGTCGCGGACTGGCTCTCGAAGCACAGTCTCGTCTATCCCTACGGGTTGCATGAGTTGGCGGAACCACCCAATGGTGTTGCTCCGTTGCTTCGGGATGATGTGCAAGGTGTCACCTTTGAGCGCCACATTGTGGCAATCTCTCCTCCCCGTGTGTAACCCCCCCCCCCCCCCCCCCCCCCCGTATTCTTTCTCGGCCTAAGGCCTCCTTCTGATGCAAAAAAAAAATGAGAGAAATAAAACCTACCGATCATAAGCCAACTCGACACACTAATTAAACCGAACACTTAAATCACTCTACTTGCATTTATCAAAAGATCGCACTCGATTATCTATTGAACAAATGAACTTTTATTTGTCGGACGGTTAACATCACATGTAAAATCTTTAATAGAGTGTCGATATATCAACATCGTTTTAGAGCCTTCTACTTAAATAATCAGTACAATATCTCATCGTAAGGTCATTAGAAGAGATTAATTGGAGTTCATGAAATTTGAATGGTTGAGATATACGCAGATGATAGATTCGTCCAATTTAGCCATCTTATAATGCGTTTTTTATCCTCCCAGAAGAAGCACTAGCTAGCTAGCTACAGGAAGTGAAGCAGCAAATTAATTTGGTTAAAGCAATTGAATTTGTTTACGCTAGGTCCCTAGCTAGCTCTGTTCTCTTTTAACTGATTAATCAATGGGCAGGGAACATTTTCATCAGAATCTAGCTTTCATTGAATTCAATAATGCTATTGTAAAATAGCAAGGAAGAGCAATAGACATAAGAGTAAGAGTAGAGACACAAGAAGAGTGGGGGAATAGAGTTTTCTTATTCATGTATTCCTTAGTACAAGGAGATCATCTATTTATAGGCACACATCATATAACCTCTACATTCTTACAATCAATATACATGAATGTGAGAATGAA